TTTTTTTTTTTTTTTTTAATTTGCTTCTTGCCACGCGTCTTATCCTTGTTAACAGTCCTCACACACTCCCACGCGTCTCCTTTTCTCGCTCAGGTGCCAAGGCCGCTACCAGCACGCTGCTTCAGAGCTCGCTCCGGGGACCCGGGCGCGCGTGCAGGACCCCTGCTCCCTCCAGCTTCAGCTTGGGGTACGCGCTTGGCGGGAGGATGCACGGGCCTGTTTCCGCACGACCTCACGGGAGTTGTAGTACTCTTCTTCCCCGGAGATCTGTAGAGACCGCCGCAAAGACTACAACTCCCAGCGGCTGCGCGCTCTCCCTTTCCTCAAAGGAAAAAGATCCGCCTCGAAGCTATTCCTTACGGACGCGCCTTGCCCTTACCCTGCTGCGCATTGTGGCCTTAGAATTAAGTTATTTTAAGCCAGGACTGATGCAGTAAGGGGACCACTGTTATCCATTTAATGCTTTACAGTTTATCAGTCATGTTCTATCGCTTCAACCATCTTGTGAGGTAGGTGGGCGTGATCTAGCCCTAATTTACAAACAAAGAGGAAACTGCCTGTGCCTGAGAAGGGAGTTTCTCAAAGGCAAAATTCGTAATGGAACCAGGGTGCCAACCTCACATTTCAGCTGGTAGTTCTGTTGCTGCAGTGGGGTAGGAGGGAGAACAAGATGACTGAAAAAATAGACAAAGAAGTTAAAGAGGGAGGATGGGTCAGTATTTAACCATAACACAAGCAACGATGTCCTGAGAGAGGTAAAGAGCAATGACGATAGGCATACGGAGGAGGAAATGAGATATTTGAAATAATCTTCAATTTTTTATTTTGCCTCTCTGCTATGGAACGCTCACCTTGCAGAGTCACACAACTTGAGAACTGAGAGATGCTGAGCAGGGCTTACCTGTCAGACGCTCAGTTTCTTGGTTTGGCCTTCTTACAATGGCTCTATGATTTTGGCTGAGTATCTTACAGCTCTTTCCCTAGTCAGCTTTTTTGTAAGGAGGGTGTAATAATATTTTACAGTTACTGGCTCTACAGTAACTTAATAAATAGCTTTAGAGTGCTTGAAGGTTCACAGATAAAAGACCTAATAAATTCAAAATACTGCTTTCTTCCCTTTAACAAGCCATTTACCATAATAAAATCCAAGCTACCAAGGTACAGAAAGAGCATAGTGCCAATTCCTGAAAAATAACGTGCCATGGTTGGGATTTACAGTCTTTGCTAAGCAGTTGGGTGTTTCTTTTATGGAATTAGCAGGTTCTTTTAATCACACAAGGCCTGGGAAACAACCACGTGTCCTGAAAAGAAATTAATAGTTCACTATCGTCACCATTATTGTCCATGACAAATGTGAAGTATTTACTCTATGCTAAGCATTATGCTAGGAGCTGAGGCCACAAGAAAGGATATAACAAAACTGTTTATTTCAAAAAATAAAATGTGTCTGGGAAGACAGATGTATGTGAGAAAATGCTTCCTTCAGACAACTGTTAAAGAATTCAGAGTCTGAGGTAGTCAATAAAAGCAACAAGCAGCAGGAGGGAGAAGCACTGGGCTTTAAAGGTCAAAAAATTAAGAAGTAGAGAAAAAGGTAGAGGGCATTTCAAACCCATACATCACTGGTTCTCAAATCTCCCTAGGAATTCATTTAAAATGTGTATTTCTGGGGCACCTGGGTGGCTCAGTTGGTTGGACATCCATCTCTTGATTGTGGCTCAGATCATGATCCCAGAATCGTGGGATTGAGCCCCGTGTCAGGCTCTATGCTGTCAGTCTCCATGCTGAGCTTGGATTCTCTCCCACTCCCTCCCTCTCTCTCTCTCTCTCTCTTCTCTCTCTCCTACTCTTCCTCCCTCTCTCCTTCTTCCCCTCTCCCCCTCATGCTCTCTCTTAAAAAAAAAAAAAAAGTGTATTCCTGGTCACTGCCCTAGAGATTCTGATTCAGTGCTTTGGAATAGGGCCTAAGTGCCCACATATTTAACAAATATCTATTGATTGTGACATAGGTGGCCATGATCTGACTACAGAGTTTGATAGGAGGACCAGTGAATTGGTGTCCTCTGGAATCTCATTAAGAAATACAAAATTTCAGGCCCCATCCCAATTGTGCTGAATCAAAATCTGTATTTTAACAGGAGCCAATGATGATTTATATGCATATTAAATTTGATAACCAGTGGTTTTTATAAGACAGTTCTTAAATTTAATTCAATTCTGAGAAACACTACTAAATCAACAGACCTTCTAAGAGATGGAATTCTATAACACAAGTATAAAAGACTGGAGAAATACAAGTTTTAATTCAACACCAGAATCAACCAGCCCTCAATTTTATCCGCAAGATTATGACATACACTGGTTACCAGAAACCTTGCCCAGCATCTTTGGCTTATTGCTTAGGAATTGAGGGGTACCCAAAGAGACCTACAACTTATCAAATCAAAGAATAGTGTAAGTGTGTCCAGAAGAGGGAGTATAACAGTTTTCCTAGTCAGAGAAAGTTCAGAAGCTTTAATTTCTGTTGGAATTTGCCCAGGGTTCTTTTTTTTCAAGTCTTTATTTAAATTTCAGCTAACGTACAGTGTAATATTAGTTTCAGGTATACAACATAGTGATTCAACACTTCCATACATCACCCAGGGCTCATCACAAGTGCACTCCTTAATCCCTGTCACATTTAACCCACCCCTGCACCCACTTCCCTTCTGGTAACCATGGGTTTATTCTTTATAATTAAGAATCTCTCTCTCTCTTTCTCTCTCTCTCTCTCTCTCTCTTTTCCCCCCTTGCTCATTTGGTTTCTTAAATCCCAGGTATGAGTGAAATCATATGGTATTTGTCTTTCTCTGACTGACTTACTTTGCTTAGCATAATACTCTGCAGCTCCATCCATGTTGTTACAAATGGCAACATTTTGTTCTTTTTTATGGGAATTTGCCCAGGGTTCTGTATTTTTATTTGCTAAATCTGGCAACACCAACTGTGGTCATGAAAGAGAATATCTCTCTTGGTCCTAATATATATATGACCTAATATTTTAAGGTCATGATGTATATAACTTACCCTCAAGTGGTTCAGAAAAAAATACTGTGTGTGTGTGTATATACACACACAAATATATGTTATATATACACACACATATGTATTATATAAATATACATGTAAACATATGGTTAGATAAATACCAAATAATAGATCAATGGGGGGACATTTTAACAACGGGTGAATTTGGGTAAAGGATAGATGGATAATCTTTGTACTATTTTAATTTTTTCAGCTTCATTTGAAATTATTTCTAAATTAAAAAATTTAGAAGAAAAACCTCAGGGCATCTGGGTGGCTTAGTTGGTTAAGCACCCAACTTCAACTCAGGTCATGATGTTGTGGTTCATGTGTTCAAGTCCTGCGTCGGGCTCTGTGCTGACAGCTCAGAG